GTGATTATGAAATCACGAGGGCTATCACCTGTCAAGCGTTGTCGGTCGAATTTCGAAACACCCTGTATATACTCGGCTTAAGTTCTTGAAACTGCAACAGTTTTCTTGATTCCCAAGAAATGGAACCTCCGCCATATTTGAAGACATACCCCCAGTATATGATTTCCTCCCAGATAGCACAAGTACATCTTATGGATATACTATGGATATCCATCATGGATATTGCGGATGTCCATAAGATATCCGAAAAAGGTTCTGGTTTATCCTATGGACGTCCATAGGATGTGACCATGTGACCTTTTTGGATGTCTTAGAGATATTCATTATGGATATCCAAAAGATATCAACTATGGATATTGATAAGAGATAGTATACCCTATATATATAGAAAAAATCACATAAATTGGGAAGCACTCACGTCTCACTGCGTTCGAATAATATGTAGTTGTCAGTTCTTATGCATCATCAATTTTGGACGAATTTGTAGGAATCACTCCCAAATTCACTTCAAATTAATTAAATATGACAACAGATTGACATTATTTGACTATTCCAAGGTTGGTAGAATCCATGATCTATAAATAGTCATCAGTTCTACCGTTCTACCAATCTTGGACTATTTGAGACGATACGACGCCACCTCGCGCTGTTTTTGAGAACCCAATTAATAATAATAGCAGATAGTGCATCACGATGTGTGCTATCTTTTGGAAGACCCTTGCACAAGTGTTATTTATCATTTCATTCATTGTATTCTTGATTTGAAATTTCTAGGTATTAATCTTTTGTCTCTGTATCTTATGGATTTCCTATGGACGTATTCAAGACGTTTGTTTCGGATATCTCAAGTACATCCGCAATCGGATATCTTATGGATATACATTAACAGGACTTGAAATGGATATCCATAAGATATCCTGTGTTAACTGGGCTGTCATCTTCGTCATTAGCCCAGTCGGCATCAACATATCCTTCTATCAATGATTGATCTTCAACAGAAACAGCTGTTAATTCGAATATGACAGGCTATTCCGGGTAAATGATTCGAAAAAAGTACCAACGTTATGCCAAACAATTTTTTTAAATCGATTCCACACGAAAAGGATACATCTGATCGATACAGAACAAGAGCACCTTTTTTCTGAAAAACGGTGTGGATTTTCATAATCGGAGATTGAATTGTCGAAAAATATGCATACAAAAAGAAGTTTGAGCAATATTTAATGTAGTCCCACCCTGTATTAAACACTCCTGAATGACATTTCGGATTGATAGTATTTTCACTGCATTGGGCATGAAAAGTTATTCGGTTCTTGTACCGGATTGCACTATTTTATCACATGGCCTTTCGGAAATATTCGAGGTAATATCATTTCCATATGAGCCCCCTTTAAGGAGGTCGTAGCTTCCTTAGGAGCCATTGTTCAACTTATACAAGGTGTATCTAAATAACACCGTAAGAATTCAAGGTGTGCTTTCTATTGATATTTTAGCAAATAAAGTTAACATAAACATGTCTCCTAATTTTCTCCGTTTTTGAGATACAGGATGTTGAAGTTGGAAGTATAATTGTTCTTATTTATTATTATTATGTGCCAAAATTCAGTATGGTTGGAGACCGAGAAAGCCCATAAATTTCAAAATGATTCTAGTTGGGGTTATTGAGTATAATCTCAATGGAAGTCTTGAAAACACGCCTATACATACAAATTTGGAGTTAAATCGAATTTTTATTGTTTCCTCAAGAATTTAGCTAGATATAAAATCACAAAAAGGGTAGAACAGTTGTTATTTCAATAGTTCAAACTAATAACAATATGAAACTCAGAAAAACCGGTGGCGTACAATGACATAATTGCACCAGAAGAAGCTCCATATTAATATTAACAAAACCACAACGTTTTATTGTAATTGATATGGAAAGACAATTGAGTAATAAATAAGAAAACGATTTTCCACGGAAATATTAATACCCTGTATCTCGAAAACGAAGCAAGTTAGGATACATGTTTATAAAAACTTCATTCTGTAAAATTTCACAAGGAATCACCTCTTGAATTTTTTTTGGTGTTATGTATATATCTATATGTTTATTGGAAGTTTTCTTCCTATTTTTGGTCGAAGTATCGGCTACTGAAATATGGCAGGCTAATCTCGGGACACCCTCTATACAGGGTGTCTCAGAATGATGTTCGTATACTCCAGGAGGTAATTCTTCAGATAAAAATAAGAAAAAGTATTCCTATCAACATTTGTCCGAACATGTGCTTCCTTAGGGCGAGAGAGCTCTTTATTGAAGGTATGTCCAGCTGTCTTCAATTATCTACGTCATTGATCCCAGAATCACGAAATTTGGTACCTGAAGCATATTTTGTATTAACAAATACTTTTTAGTAATTAAATTCTTTTCGGTATTTGAATACCGAGTATTTAAATACTTTCTGGTTCAGGTCATTATATTTATATACTTACAAATATTCGTATTTGCCGAGGTATTTGCAAATAGTTTCGCGTGTATTTAAATATATCTGATCGAAGTATTCAAATACTTTTGGAGTATTTGAATACTCAAAAGTATTTAACTATTTCAGAAGTAATTAAAAACTCGTAAAATATTCAAATACTGTGTGAGTATTTAAAACACTCAGGAGTATATCTGTGGATTTGAGCTTTTCAGAATCTGAGCTGATTTCAGAGGCCTCTACATCCAACTTCCAATATAGTGAATGGTGAATTCATTCCACCAATCTGAAAATGATAATTCATACATTTTCAGAAACGAGTACAGAAAACCTAAAGAAATAAAGTAAAAATAAATGATAATTCTGTTTAACGATATACATAAGTAAGTGAGTGAGTCACTAACGTCATCCTTTTCTATTAATGCCGGGTTTCGACAAATTGACGCCTTCACAGTGTAGTACAAAAATTATTTATTTTTTTTACTTCTGCTATTGGAACTGCCTCAATTACCCAAATCTACATTACAAAGGTGATTGAAAGCGTCAAAAATACTCAAGTACCATGAATGTATTCAAATCCTTGAGAATATTTGAATCGATTTGAATATACTCAAATACTTTGGAAATACTCAAATACTTCGGAAATTTTCAAATAGTTTCAGCGTTTTTGAATACTTTGGAAATACTCAACTACTTTTAGAGTATTTGAATACTTTGGAAATACTCAAATACTTTTAGAGTATTTGAATACTTTGGGAATACTCAACTACTTTTAGAGTATTTGAAAACTTAGGAAATACTCAAATACTTCGAAAGTATTTAAATAGTCACTGTGAACTATTCAAATGCTTTTTTATTTGTTATTTAAATACTTTTTGGCCTTTTGAAAATATTTAATATTTGGATATTTCCAATATCCGAAAGTATTTATAATACCTGATAATTAAATACTTTCCTCAGAGTATTTTCCCAGCTCTGCCTGAGCTTGAATAAAAACTTTTTTTTTCGCAACTATTAACATTGCTCCGCCCTCCGCCCCAGTGGATATGATCTTGAATGGAGCACCCGGTATACTCTCCATTCATCATCAGGGCCTCAACTGGGACGAGTCATCGAACATAAAGTTTCAGACAAGAGGCGGTTTTTTTCATGTTTCTTCTATTTGATTCAGACCAGGGAAGAGCCCCTTTTATACTGATATTTATCATGAGACAGAAAGAAAAATAAAAACGGTATTGAAGTTTGATGCGAACAGCCCGCCCCAAATGAGTCTCAGAAATACATTCTCAGAATTGGAGGAGATCGAACGAAACAAATAATACATGACCGAAGTCTACAACAACAAATGAACAAATGAACAAATGAACAAATGAACAAATGAACGAATGAACAAATGAACAAATGAACAAATGAACAAATGAACAAATGAACAAATGAACGAATGAACGAATGAACAAATGAACAAATGAATAAATGAACAAATGAACAAATGAACAAATGAACAAATGAACAAATGAACAAATGAACAAATGAACAAATGAACAAATGAACAAATGAACAAATGAACAAATGAACAAATGAACAAATGAACAAATGAACAAATGAACAAATGAACAAATGAACAAATGAACAAATTAACAAATGAACAAATGAACAAATGAACAAATGAACAAATGAACAAACGAACAAACGAACAAATGAACAAATGAACAAATGAACTAATGAACAAATGAACAAATGCACAGATGGATAGATGAAATGATGGATAGATGGACATATGAACAAATGGACAAATGAAAGAATTCAAAAATGCACAAATAAACAGATGGATAGATGGACGAATGAACAGATGAAAAAATTCAAGAATGCACAAATAAACAGATGAACGAATGAACGAATGAACGAATGAACGAATGAACGAATGAACGAATGAACGAATGAACGAATGAACGAATGAACGAATGAACGAATGAACGAATGAACGAATGAACGAATGAACGAATGCACAAATAAACAGATGAACGAATGAACGAATGAACGAATGAACGAATGAACGAATGAACGAATGAACGAATGAACGAATGAACGAATGAACGAATGAACGAATGCACAAATAAACAGATGAACGAATGAACGAATGAACGAATGAACGAATGAACGAATGAACGAATGAACGAATGAACGAATGAACGAATGAACGAATGAACGAATGAACGAATGAACGAATGAACGAATGAACGAATGAACGAATGAACGAATGAACGAATGAACGAATGAACGAATGAACGAATGAACGAATGAACAAATGAACGAATGAACAAATGAACGAATGGACGATTGCATGAATGAACAAATTAACGAATTGACGATTGAATGAATGAACAAACGAATGAATGCACGAATGGACAGATGGACAAATGAACAAATGGATAAATAAAAAATGCACAAATGAACAAATGAACGAATGCATGGATAAGTGAAATAATGAATGAGTTAATTAATGGCTACATGGATAAACAGAAAATTGATTCGATCCAGGTTCTCAACTGGGACGAATCCACCCTCATCCGCCTTCAGCTGTGGGATATCGCAGGCCAGGAGCGGTTCGGCAACATGACCCGAGTGTACTACAAGGAGGCGGTCGGGGCCTTCATAGTTTTCGATGTGACGCGGAAGCAGACGTTCGACTCGGTGCAGAACTGGAAGCAGGATCTGGATAGCAAGGTGCAACTGCCCGACGGGTCCAATATACCGTGCGTGCTGTTGGCCAACAAGTGCGATCAGCAAAAAGAAGGTATCGATTGATTGATAGATTTTCGATTTTTCGATTTCTTGATTTTTCGATCGATTTTTCGATTTTTAAACTTTTTGATTTTTTGATTTTTTGATTCATCGATTTTTTGATTCATCGATTTTTTGATTTTTTGATTTTTCGATTTTTTGATTTTTTGATTTTTTGATTTTTTGATTTTTTGATTTTTCGATTTTTTGATTTTTTGATTTTTTGATTTTTTGATTTTTTGATTTTTTGATTTTTTGATTTTTTGATTTTTTGATTTTTTGATTTTTTGATTTTTTGATTTTTTGATTTTTTGATTTTTTGATTTTTTGATTTTTTGATTTTTTGATTTTTTGATTTTTCGATTTTTTGATTTTTTGATTTTTTGATTTTTTGGATTTTTTTATTTTTAGATTCTTTAGTTTTTCGATTTTTTGATTTTTTGATTTTTTGATTTTTTGATTTTTTGATTTTTTGATTTTTTGATTTTTTGATTTTTTGATTTTTTGATTTTTTGATTTTTTGATTTTTTGATTTTTTGATTTTTTGATTTTTTGATTTTTTGATTTTTTGATTTTTTGATTTTTTGATTTTTTGATTTTTTGATTTTTTGATTTTTTGATTTTTTGATTTTTTGATTTTTTGATTTTTTGATTTTTTGATTTTTTGATTTTTTGATTTTTTGATTTTTTGATTCTTTGATTTTTTGATTTTTTGATTTTTTGATTTTTTGATTTTTTGATTTTTTGATTTTTTGATTTTCTGATTCAATGATTTTTTGATTTTTGTTTTTTGATTTTTTGATTTTTTGATTTCTTGATTTTATGACTGATTTTAGGAATTTTTGATTTCTTGATTTTTAATTTTTTTGATTTTTTGATTTTTTGATTTTTTGATTTTTTGATTTTTTGATTTTTTGATTTTTTGATTTTTTGACTTTCTGATTTTTTGATTTTCTGATTTTTTGATTTTTTGAGTTTTTGAGTTTTTGAGTTTTTGAGTTTTTGATTTTTTGATTTTTTGATTTTTTGATTTTTTGATTTTTTGATTTTTTGATTTTTGATATTTTGATTTATTGATTATTTGATTATTTAATTTTTTTATTTTTTGAATATTCAATGTTTCGATTTCAGGATTTTTAGATATTCAATTCTATTGATATTCTGTTTGTTTTCTTTTTTTGATTTTTTTTTCCTTTCTTGATTTTCTGATTTTTTGAATTTTGGATTTGTGATTTTTCTGATTTTTCGATTTTTTGATTCTTTTATCTATGGATTCTTAAAATTTTTGGATTTTCAAATTCTTTAATTTTTGGATTTTCTGAATTTTTTAGTATTTGATTCTTCATTTCAGATATTTCGATTTCTGATTTCTTGAATTTTTAAATATCCGAATTTTTAATTCATTGATTTTTGATTTTTTATCACATTGATTCTTCGATTCTTTATATTTAGATTTGATTGTGTGATTTTTCGAATTCTTGATAGATAATTTCTCGTTTTTTTTCATCCTTTCATTATTTGATTTCTTATTAATTGATTCTTTGATCACTTGATCTTTTTATTCTTAGATTTTATGATTTTTTCATTTTTCGATTTTGTGATTTTTTGAATACCACCTGGTCTGATGAAATTGACATCGCAAGTCAGAAAACCAAGAACTATAGATAAGATTTTATGATTTCTGATTTTTGAAAGTTTGATTTTCAACTTTTTGATTTCCTGTTTTTTTGTGTTCATTAATTTTCGAATTTTTCATACTTCGATCCTCTGATTTTTTTCAGATTCTCAGATTTCTGATTTCTTATATCCCGATTTTTTCCTGATTCATCGATTCATCGATTATTCATTGGTGCATCGTTCCATCGTTTCATCATTTCATCGTTTCATAGTTTCATGGATTCTTTAGTCATTGATTAATTATTCAATTTATGTTGAAGGTATTGTTACGAACCCCGAAAAGATGGATGAATACTGCAAGGAGAGTGGTTTCCACGCTTGGTACGAAACCTCGGCCAAAGACAACATAAACATAGACGAAGCGGCAAGGTCGTTGGTCGAGAAAATTTTGGCGTACGATGCCCTGCTGAACAACGATTCCAAAAAGGCATCGGATCAGTTTTCGTTGAGAGATTCGGACGGTCAGAAACGGGGAAAAACTTGCAATTGCTGATACTATCTTCATGGCACCTTCTATACGTTGAGCAGCTCAGTGGTTTTTTGTTTTATAAACTTTGTTACATTCATCGTTTTATAATTTTTCTATTGCATTTTGATCACGTATTATTTTATTGAATCGATTAGATAACTAGGTAGGTATACATTTTCCTTATAGTCATAATATGTTTGTAAATATTTCTTTCTCAATATACTCATGTAAACCTTTCGGAACAGGTATTATTAATTCCTCTACCATTTTTTCACATGCCATCAGGAAGAGTATCGTTTTGATTCGCACATAATAAACTCATCAGATAATCAAATATCTTTTCGACCACCCCCCCCCCACCCCGTATACATCTTACGGTAAGTATATACCTTCAAGATCATGATACAAGTCATAGGCGATATATACTTGATTGATTATTGACTGGTTAGAAGGATCATGTATAACCAATTGATCATCACACGATAGTTGATCAAGCCACTTATACTCCTCAGTCTATTATTTTATCACAATGCGCGTGCGGTCGATTTGTAGGTGGTGAAAATAGAATTCGTATCAGTTACAAAAGACGAATAATAAAATTCCCAGCTCAGTTCATTGATTATCTTGCAATGGGCGAGTGTACTTGTAATGAATTATTGGCATTCAATTACTCTACTGTGTCGTTAGGGACCTGAATTCATTTTTACAACTTTTCTTATACTTTTTTCATATAAATAATGAGTGTATGCGTTCCCAGCAAACACAATTATGTAAAATTGACATAAGTGTTACATAACTGACAATACGTGTTATGTAACTATGTTATGTAAGACTTACATCACTGTTATGGCGAAATGTCCGCCACAAATACTACATGATTATTACGTAACAATTATGTCACTATTTTATATATATTTTATATAATTTCATTGCTATAAATAAGATGTTACGTATATAACAAACTGACATAAATATTACATAACATTCTCTAGATGTTATGTAAAATTTACATCCCTATTATGTAAAAATGTCAGCTACAAATATGACTCCATTTTAATATAATATTGATGAAACTACTTGACTAATATCCGAAATGAATATCAGAATTTCACGAATAACCTCTTCACTTCACTAACTCACTTCACAGGCATATGCACATATTGATAACTAAGTACAATCATCTCAGTAGGTGATCCAAACTCTACACTCCATAATATCTATACTGATATTACTGATGATGATATATGGTTATAGAAATGTGCATGAGAGTTGGAAGTGGGCTAGTGTGAAAAAGAAGTTATTTGGCAATTTTTGATTGTGTGGGAAAATGTAACAGAGACAGATTAGTCATAAAATGCTTGATGGTTTATTATCTCCTATACCTATCATTCAGTATTCACTTCAATTCTCCTCAGGTACAAAAAAACTCTGCTCGAAAATTTTCAAGACTTTCTGTTCCAAATATTATGCATTATAGTACACAGTATAATTGATCAGTTGCTAATTTTAAAACAAAAAAATGGGCAAAAAATTATAGACTGAATAATCTTCAAATTGAATAAAATGGAATGTCCTGAATAGAAGATGATAAAACAACATCAACTATCAAATGAAAAACATGACCTTTATTTTTCTTTGAAAATAGTGAGACCATTTATGTATACTTCAAAAGTTCAAAAAATCAAAATTGTGAGTAATCAAATCATATATTTCTTCTTGATCTCCCAATTCAACCCTCCATTTAACCTCTGGTGACTAAATCAGAACCACCTTCCTGCTGGTTTATCTATCAGAGTAAGATATCGAAGGGTGTGTGATAATGATGGAGTCTGAAAAAATATTGCTTTGTTTTTCATTTTTCAAATTAAAATCTAAAATATATATTACCAGATAATGATATTTCGATTGATTTCAAATCTCTGACTTCAATGTTTTCCCTCTGCCCTTACCAGGAACATTGTGTGGCCCCTATATAGATAGTCTCTCCCATCTTTACCACCTTGAGTTTTGAAAAGATGTATGTACCTACCTGGAAAAGTATACATTTCAGGATTCATCTTATTGGGGTTCTTCATGAACTTATTTATGAAACAAAAAATAATAATCACTGACAAAATGATTAAATTTCCATAACCAATAATAATAACTTTAATCCAGAATGTGAGGCACTTTGGGGTTTTCACTGGGGTTTTCATCAGCCATCATAATCAATCACTGGCTTTTGTTCAATTTCATATGAGAATTGGAGTTTGACCAGATTATACCTCGGATTCTATCAATACCTACCAGATTCATCATTTATTCTAGGCATATTTAAAAGGTCCAGGATAGATAATATGTAACTATTTCTTTCTTGTTGTTTTCACAGAGGTTAGGAAAATCTCAAGGCATGTTTTATTCTCACTCACTTCCACTTATTCTTATTAACACTTTTAGTTCAGTTTAATTCATCAAACACAGCAGGTAGAAACAAGAAAAACACTCGAAATAGTTATAAAATACCGAAAATGCCTTCAGTGTAGTTTGTTTATGGTCTCGTCTTCACTTATAATTATAACTCATAACCTCAAAGTAGTCGACCAATAGGAATTGGGCATGTGGGATGGGGGACCACTGCAGCGCAGAAAATTGGTGGAAACAAGAAAATCACTCGAAATAGTAAGAAAATACTGAAAATGCTTTCAGTCTCCAAGTCTTCACTCATTACTTATAACCTCAGAGTGGTCACGGAGAAACGCTACAGTGCGAGAGCGAAAAATAATAATCATCGCGGTGGGGGAACATTACAGCGCGAGACCACGGGTACCTACTGATCATCCCAACGAATATCCTTAATTGACGCAGAATCAAGTCTGCAGATAATTTACGGCCGAGAGTCCTAGTGAAGTCATGTAGCTATCATATAAGCTTTTATATTGATATCAAATTGTCACATATCATTTACATCATAGTTACGTTACATTTTTATATAATTATGGGGTTCACATATTTCAGAAGTATTATGGAATATTTACGTAAATATTCTATATAAAAAAGTTCCGTTGATTTTATATAACAGTGATGTAAATATAACAGATGTGTTTGCTGGGTTGTTCGAAATTGTTGAATTTCTGAGATCATTTCAAACGTATACCATCATGGCCACCATTTGGCGATACATCGAATAAATGGTGACGTCAGCTTTTATGCTGTTTCGTTATTGTTTAGAAAATCTACCATTCCCACTCACGAAGCAAAGTTATTGTCAAGTCCAAGTTTTGTAAGCGATTTTTCGTATTTTTCGCGGGACAACTATCATCTGTTGCCATTTTTTTGCTCTTTTCAGAATTTCTAGTGATGTAGAAATAAGCTCATCGTCATTGCTTGACATTTTTCATCTGAAATTGAGAAATATATCAACAGCAAAAATTCAAATAATCATTTTCTAAAAATATTATCATTACATCAATATTCGTCACTTACATTAGCAGTCGTAGGAAAAAGTACGTAGTCTGCTATGTTTTGTGCTGGTTGATTGGCTACTCCATATTTTATTGTAACTTTCTTCTATATATACACATCGATATATACAAATCTTATATGCCGGCAATTTTTTACCCCATCTATATCTTTATATACCTACATATATCTTATAAATTGAGTTATACTTTGAAAACAGTTCAGAATAATAATACAGTGAGGACGTAAAAAGTCCTTCCCCCCTTCCCTTCACTTATTTCGAAGGGAACAAGTTATAGTGAGGTCGGGTAAAATTGATGTGAAAAGATAGGTACCTACACCGTTTACATTTGAAAAAAAAAGTTGATACCAAAAAGTAGTATAAAGAAAGGAAAGAGGTACCTTTTTACCTAAATTTTACCCTGTCTCCCTAGCTCGTTCCGCTCAGGAGTTAAACTGTGAGTTAAAAGGGGGAGAAATTTAAATTTACCGCTATGGCCAAAGGGCCATAATTGTTCTGATTGGTCTGTACGTGTCTGAGGTAAAATTGAATTCTCTTAGTAGTCATAGGAATTTCACACGGGCTATAAGAAAAGAAGAAGAAGAGGAATAATAATAATATTATTCTTAACCTAAAAGTTCATTTTAAAATAATTCTGACTAGACACTAGACAAGAATTCGAATTTTTTTTAAGTTTTCCTAATATTTATCTACTCATTATTCCATTTATGAAAACACTGATGAAAATACCAACATGGGAAAGGTGTTGGAAACCAAATTTTCAGATGTGAGCCACCGTATACTGAGGAAGCCAGTGAAAAGAGATAAGTTTTCAGCATCACAATCTAGTACCAGTAAAAATGATGATACAAATCCAAAAAAGAGAAAAATTTCAGGCATAAATGATGATGATTCTCATTTGCCCAACAAGTTGCAGAGATTGTCCACAGATAAATTACCAGAATCTCTGGACATTCTCCAAACCGAAATACAAGATGAAATGAAGGGAAATGAAATTGTTGTCAATAAAATATATGGAGAAAAGTGCTCTACTTCAGATTATGTTTACTTGAAAATAGAAGACAACAGTTGTGATCTGTTTCTGGATGATGAACTAAAGAATAGTCATGGAAACTTCATTTTTAAAGATTTATATTTTCACATTATGGATGAAATTTGCTTGGAAGGATTGGATGGAATTACTATTGAGGGTAAAAAATTCACTGTTTTTTTTTTTTTGCTTGGAGTTTATCAAAAACTACTTATTATGTTGAATATAATGTTCAATGTTTTCACAACTTATTAACATGATTCCTAATACCTGCCATTTGTCTGAATCACTAATATTGTATATTTGACTACTTTAATCTTCTTTATAGATAGGCCTCAGAAACATTCATTGCATACAGGTTAGCTCACAGGTTACACAAGGTTGTGTGATGTTTATGGTGTTTATGTATGGGGGTCTCCTAATATTTCAACCCCTACCTGCAGCTTTGATTATAGGAGAAGGAAAAAATTTCAAATATAAAAGTTGTAGGATTTCATCTGTACTCTGGCACTCCTTAAACAAACCTATGTGAATAGCAAAATGATAAAAAAGAGTGCAAATCAGTTTTTTTAATGAAACATCCTGTATGTTCCCAATTCAAGTGAAAGATCTTTCTCTTCTGTTTTTTTTTTTCTACCTCCTATAGTTAAAGTTGTAGGAAGGGGTCAACATACAGTGCATTACCTTTTATGAATAATTTCAGATCTACTATTATAATGGAGAATTTCTAGAAGTTATTCTTTTTTTAGTACTTTTTATTCAAAGGATACAATAAAAAACATTTTAGAATTATTCTAACAAAAGTTGTTTCCTAATAAGCAAGCAAGTGCTGGTCCAGGAACAAAATACAAAAAAATACAAGAAATACATATTCAAACTGACAAGTTCAAAGTCAGAACTAATATACATATTAACACTTCTAAATTACTTACCCATGATAACTACTCAGAATACATTCTTTGTTTTTACTCTGACACATTTTTCAATTGTCCATTTCCATATTTCCATTTCCATATTTTTTCTGGTCTGATTGGAAGTTTCAGAAGTTTCTATTATCAGACTCAATTACCAAATTATATGGACTTTGTGTATCTTTGATACTTTTGAACTCAACTGAATTCATTGAACACTCAGTATAATAATCTGAAATTAAATTATTCCCCTCCATACTCCCATACAGATTTGAATCAAGTAACTACTTCATAATACAATATAAAATATAAATTTGATTGACTTACATATTTTATATAAGAAATAATGGAAAATACAAAATCATTCAAAACATATTCTGTAAATTTTCTTTTTGCTATTCCATTGTTAATTAATGTTTTCTCTGTAGCTAAATCAACTGTTCACCTCTGTTCACTCAGATAATTTGAAGAAAACAGGATTTTAGCTTGGTATTTTTGTTAACATAGAACTGACAACTGATTTATATCGAGAATTACTATAAATATATCTGCACCGAATTTCATAGTATTCTGAAATATAGAGTTGAAAAATATTTATTAACTTTTTTAGAACATATATTTCATTCCATTCCATTCTCAAATTTGAGACACACTATATGTTATATTTGATTTACTTTTGTACTTATGCTCATGTCAACAGCTTGCTGAACAAGATTATTAGTACCTCTAGTGTTAGAAGGAGTTTCATCAATAAGCGGATTTATGAAAGAAGATATTGGCATCATAATTTATATGAGCTCCCCAGAAGGGAACTAGAAATTCAAGACCGCCTAAAAACATATTCTGTACGTTTTCTTTTTGTTATCTGCGGTCGCCAAGGTCATAATATGATGTTGAGATGACATTCAAAACTTCAGGAAAACCAGGGTTATTATACAGGGTGTCCCTTAATGATGCTAATATTCAATGGGCCGATTATTCGACCCATTTCACGAATTAAACTCCATATGAACATATCTCCTATATGTCCTAACTTTTGAGATACAGGGTGTCAATGTCGAAAATATGCATAGATTCTTTTTTGTCCACTATGCATCTTTTCGTGATGGCAAAATTCAGTCTGCTATGTGACTGAATCGGTATGAAAATTTCAAAGTGTTACATACTGTGGTTATCCAGTAGTGGATGTCCTGAATTGAGTACTCAGAAATCAAAATTTGAAGTCTGGTCTCGTTTTTCCTTTTTTTCTCTGAAACAAAGTGTTCTATCGAGTATCAACAAGAGGATTTTTTTTGTACATAGCAAAATTTGAGAATTTTACGTCCTTGCTCACTTTTAAGTAAAATATAAACAATAAAATTTCCGTAACGGTGCCACTTGTAGAGAAAATGAAAATTTGTCAATATCATAAAATGCACCTTGATGCATAGAAGACGTGTACCAAATTTCATGAAGATGTATACAATATTGTCTGAGTTATTATCAAGAAATTGAATATTTTTCAAAACTTCATCACCCTGTATCTCAAAAGTTAAGGCTTTTAGGACATATGTTCATATGAAGTTTTCTTCTTAAAATGAGTCAAAGAATCACTCCCTCAAATATTAGCATGTTTTTAAGGAAAACTCTGTGTACTGTGTTTTATATCGATATACATCTATAGGGAAAAAGTCAACTTCAGCAACACAAATGAACCGGCCTATTATATTATTTGAACAGATCACCGATGCCAATACGTTAGGGTTCCAGTTTCCGAAAAAATACATGAAAAAGATGACAAATTTTGACTGGAACACCGAATGATGAACTGAAACATGAAATTGTTGTTAAAAAACAGTTCATAGTACACAATAGCAGACGTTTCAAGTCATAAGTACGACATTTTGTTTTTAAAGGTATAAAAAAGTACTCTTCAACTGGCTAAACTCAAGCAGTAGCATACCATCATAGGTGGCAATTTCTCATCCTTATATACACAATTTGCGTTTTTCTGAACTTGTTACTGGCATAATGCTTTATAGATCCACCAGAGTGTATAGTATAGTGAGCTTTTGGTCATTTTCGAGCTTGAACTATCAGACAAAAATATGTACTGCAGTTCTAACGACCAAACTACCCACTTGTAGAAATCGGAAAAAATATAGAATCACACAAAATCATTATAAATATTTAATACATACATTTTCAAATTATGAGAATAATTAACCATTCTATAACTTTTTGATGGCTGCTGTCAGCATTTATGGGAAAATTTTCTGATATGTATGATTTCAGGAAATGAGTGAGAACTGATATAGCCATATCTGCAATTATCATCCCTTCAGCCTTCACCACATGTCATTTTTGAAAACTCATGAATTTGTTATCCACAACCCTTAAAAACAACACGAAATCATAAGAATTCTTACCTCACCTCACCTCTGTACCCCGCGCAGTCATGAAGCTCGTTCATGCGGTAACCCTGTCCCTATAGATATACAGTGCTTTTCTTTAATGCCCCCCCTTTTATTATTGAACGGGTCTACTGAGAAACTTGGAGTTATGAAATTGATGCATGGATACTACAGGGTGTTTCACAGGTAAAGGGAAATATTTCAATGGTAGATAGGAGTCACCAAGGTGGTTCTGAAAATACCATATTTGATAGGTCTTAGAGTCTTCATAACGGAGATACAGGGCGATTTATCGATTTCGAATAATTATTCATTCGTCTATTAATATTGAACTACCCAGTATATTTTTCTAAAATTTGGTATGGAGCTTAAACTTGGGACGTTGAATGCATTCACCTATCGGGCGAAGTGAAAATCCAGGTTCGGCTTGAGGAAAAATTTACATTTATTCGAAATATTAACATAACACACTGTATGTAATAATTGACAAAGTTCATCAGAGGAATCGTGAAGAGGAGGAAAAACTGAACTGGATTTGATGCTTATGGTTTTCCCGCCACCAATTCTCATCGTAACAATCATAAACAGGAAGCTAAAAGTATGTCAATTTCAAGAGTATTAAAATTATGAAACCACTTTCAATTATGATTATTTGATATATTCTTGTTAAATGATCGTTCGAAAGAACTTACTTAGTCTTACAATCTTTATAACAGAGATACAGGGTGAATTATCACTCGTCCATAAGTATTAATAAACTATACCCATCACAGTAATATTTTCTCAAATTTGGTATTGAGCTTACTTGGGACGATGGATTCATTGACCTATCAGGCAGAATTGAAATACAGGTTCAGCTTCAGGAAAAGTCTCATAGTCTTTATAACTGAGATACAGGGTGAATTATCGAATTATAATTCCGCCTGATAGGTTAATGAGTCCATCGTCCCAAGTAAGCTACATACCATATTTGAGAAAATGTTACTGGGTAGTTTTATATACTTATGGACGAGTGAATAATTATTCAAAACCGATAATTCACCCTGTATCTCCGTAATAAAAACTGTGAGACTTAGTAAGTTCTTTCGAGCGATTTTTTGACTAAAATATATCGAATAATCATAATTGACACTGGTTTCATAATTTCAATACTCTTCAAATTTACATACTTCCAGCTTTCTGTTTATGATTGTTACGATGAGAATTGGTGGCGGGAAAACAAAAAGCATCAAATCCAGTTCAGTTTTTCCTCCTCTTTACGATTCCTTTGATGAACTCTGTCAATTATTACATACAGTGTGTTATTTTAATATTTCGAATAAATGTGAATTTTTACTGAAGCCGAACCTGGATTTTCTCTTCGTTCGATAGGTGAATGATTTCAACGTCCCAAGTTTAAGCTCCATACCAAATTTTAGAAAAATATACTGGGTAGTTCAATACTTATAGACGAATGAATAATTATTCGAAATCGATAAATCGCCCTGTATCTCCGTTATGAAAACTCTAAGACCTATCAAATATGGTATTTTCAGAACCACCTTGGTGACCCTTATCTACCATTGAAATATTTCCCTTTACCTCTGAAACACCCTGTATATTTTGGAGTGAAATTGACAAATGAAAAGTTCAAGCTGGCGACTGGGCGCCATTTGGGAAAAAAATAAATGGAAAGGGGGGTCTTGTGATAGATCCTTTTGAAGCTCCTGACGAATACTTCACAACCGAAGAATATAATAATAATAATAATTTATTTGCAAGATGAGCAGAAAGTAATATATGAGTTGTTTAAATACATTTCATAACATATAAGTCAACTTGCAAAACAGGAATGACAGACAGTAGAACTGATTCAAGTGTCATCCCTGGGTAACATGAAAACATGAAGTCAATATCTTCACATACTACAGAATGACGTTTACTTCATAATTTGAGCAAATAAGCTGAGTTGAGTTCAGAAGATGCTAGAAATGGCTGCCTTGAACTTATTGACATAAGAACAGCCTATCCAATATTTTAGGCCGAACACAGTTAAGAGTCGATATTGTTCTAAAATTGTTCTATCCGTCATTCGGCTGCCCCCTTACGAGCAACCCTCAGAAGTCTTCGACAGTCTTGTGCGAGCAAGGAATGACGGAGGCCTTACCTTCGTGTGATCCCAAACACTTATTGTTACAAATATTCATCTTTCTCTGTCGTAGATATAATATTGAAGCAAGTGTACTTTCTTACACATTTTGCTTCGAATAGACCCTTAAAAACTTCTAAAGGTTTCAAATCTGGCGAGTAGGCTGGCCATTCCGTAGGACCCCGACGGGCAAACCAACGACCGAAAAAAGCATTATCCAAATGTTTCTTACTTGTCTAGAGTAATGTGGTGGTGCTCCATCTCATTGTAATACAATATCCATATTGATGTGTTTGTATTCAGGCCACTATAAAATATTCCGCCAGTTTGTAGTAGGTGGAGATATTTACTTCATATTCTAGGGTTGTGAAGTATTCGTCAGGAGCTTCAAAAAGAGGTATCACAAGACCCCCTCTTTCATTCAAATTTTTCCCCAATTGGCGCCTAGTCGCCATCTTGAAATTTGCATCTTGAAAATATAGTATTCATGCATCAATTTCATCATCCCAAGTTTCAATTTTTTCAGTCGACCCGTTCAAAAAATAGAAGGAGGGGGGGTGGAAATTAAAGAAAAGCACTGTATAATTACCCTAGGGAAAACATACTAACTCCTGGCATAGATTGGGAGTTAGACATGTTTTCCCGTAGTTTGTAACGTCATCGCGACGTCATCTACTGACCTTGGCGACCGCGATTATGAATTTTCATTCAGTACATACTTGAAAACTTGAAAGATTTCTGTACCGCTTTTTTCATCATTCCAAAACAAGTTTAAAAAATTGTATATTATGTAACAAGTTTTATAAACGTCTTTTTAGTAACGAGTACTCTGAGCACGAGCGGAGCGAATGTTTATTAAACAAATGTCTAGAAGAGTTTATAAACGCGTTACATACTATAATTTATCTACAACCTCAAAATTCCTCTCTTCTACAAGATCCCATAAGCCTACAAATTAATTCGAAGGGAATGGGAATTGAGAAGATGATAATATGCAATTGCATGTAACGAACGAGGCACGTATAAGTGATATTGGTTGTAGATTTGTCCAGTCCATAGGATACATGAATTTTACTAACCTTTGTGAATAAGAAGATTTTGTCTGACGTAGAAGATGAAAACTCTTCAATTCACTGAGGTATAAAAGTTTTTGATTTCTTAGGTTGTATCCATATTCTGATTGCATAATTTCTGCTTACATAAATGTTCTTACGTTAATATATTTTCATGCTTTAGCAAAGAATAAATTGCCCACAAAGATGAGAGCTTTATTTTTACACAGAGTCCTTGGAAATATGCAAGCACATAACAGTTTCTCTGATTTCACTTCCGTCTGCATTTCTCATACATTTTTAATGAAAAATTCTGATACAAACAAAAATTGTTTGAATAATTATGATTGTCACCGATCGCAAACTGAAACAAAATTTGAAAATGAAAGTTGACAATTCCTATAGTTGACATGCTGGACAGGACTCAAACGACTGAAGATGTGTTAAAAAAACTGTGTTGCCATATTCATTTAGCGTGCTACATCGTTACCACCGATACAACAAGGCCAGCAGACTCTGACGTAAACAGCTCGTGACGTCACCAAGAGAGGCCAGTGTTTTATTTTATCGCTTGTCGACTAACGCGTCAGTTCGTGTTAATTCATCGGTGATTCACGTATGATTTTGAAACGGTCCCGAATTCTTTTGTTGTTTATTCATCAAAATAATTGGCGGAAAAATTACTTGTTTTGTGAAATATTTTGTGTTGTGATCGACGAAATAACAATGCCTTTCAAGGTTTGTGTTCCTTTTTGTCGGGGGAATTATGTGGGTGATTCAAAAGTTCATGCTTTTAGTTTCCCGTTGGACGAGGAGCTATCGAAAATGTGGGTATATGCAATTCAACGGCGAGGATTTTACTCCATCTAAGTTCAGTAGTAAACAGAGCTTAATTTATAATGATGAATTAATAATAGAAGACAATTACTCTCTCATAAAAAGTATAAGTAGAGGAAAAATAGAAAACCTTTGATTGTGCAGTTAGTTTTGTATTCGTATATTATAGTCTACAAAATCATCTCTGAATTCGAGGAAATTTTCTTGAATGTTCATAATAAACGGGCATTTTTAATTCTCATTCTCAAATTTCTTTCTGAAAACGGTCATTTGCCTCGTGGCAATGAATGCAGAATTCATTCCAATGATCAAATTGCAACTATCATATTAACATGAACTACAAACACTCCACTTAAAAAGGTAAAACTGCATTTATCATGATATTTATCATGAAGATATTTGACTAAAAAGTTCCAAATTTCACCTTCTTTTTCACCTGTCTTCTGGATGGCATTTAGAACAAATTTCCCTTCTTTTTTCATCATATTGGACAATTTATATATAATTCAACTATAAATATGATTTTCTTGAGATTAATCCATATTTAGTGAAAAGAAGGAAGAATATCATTCAAAATAATGGCGTGTGTAATGTCATTCGAAAGCAATCTATTGACATTTGACATCTCGTATTTTGATTGACTATTGATTAAATGGTCGTCATCTGGAATGCTTGTTCACTAAATATGAAAAACTCGCCATAAAAATCATATTTCCTGTTGAATTTTCTATATAAAAATGTGCCATCGAAGTACATCATGACTATATAAAGTGTCCAATGACAAAATAAGAGCAAGTAGCTTCAAATGCCCCCAACACAAGGGGGGAAAGAAGGCGAAATTTCGAACTTTTTCTTGAAATATCTCAATAAATAGTGGTTTGTTCGCATTTTCATTATAAAATTCGGTTTATCAGACAAAAATACGTGAGTACCGGAAAAAATTTTCAAAAAAAACCATCGCATGATAAATGCAGTTTTACCCTTAAAAATTACGGTTTCAAGTGTAACGATCCACTTGGGTGAAAAATCCAACAACAGAAAATTGAAAACACTCACTGGTTATTTTTTCAGGTAATAGGAATTCTCCAAGATAAATATAGGTAATTGTAACAAACGGCATGTCAATCAAAATAAAATACATTTTCCATAATTTTCTTTTGATCAATCTCACGATAAGTTCATGTTCTGCGGGCCCTGTATAAGTAGGTGTGAAGTTTACCTTCACCACAATTTTTGCCAATATATTTAATTCGAATGGGTTGCTGTAGGTGGATATTTGTGTTTTATCCTGGTTTTTGCTTTAAAACTTCGTTTTTCCATAATAAAAACGAATGGGGTGCGAAGAAGGGCTCAGTTGACGACTGGCATCCTTTTTTAACCGGAAGCCATTCAAAAAAACAGCAGAATCGGCTCAATGATGATCTAAAACTAAAATCGAAATACGCGGTCGCCTTATAGCGCTATAAGCGCTTGTCGTTTCGAGCCGCTGGTTAGGCCTCACTAAGTGACGTCACCCACGGAGCATGCAGGCCTTGTTGAATCGGTGGTAACGGCTACATATCCGTACGCCAAATTCCATTTTAGTTATTTATTTTCTTAGAATACCTTCCATTTTATCAAGAATGATGACAATCTATACAAGTATGTTTTAAGTGATTCTGAATGACTTCTTTGAAAATTCACAATAGTACTGCTTGAAATTCGAGCCCAAATTTGAGACATACACAGTATGTTGTGTTTTACTCCTTTTTGCATTTTCTTTCATGTCAACAGCTTTCTGGACAAGATTATTAGTAGTGTTAGAAGGAGTTCCGTCGATAAGCGGTTTCATGAAGGAAAACATTTGGAAAATAATAATGAGCAAGCACGAGGACCTGAATTTCTATGAGCTTCCTGATCCCAGAAGGGAATTAGAAATTTATGACCGCCTGAATTTTTATAACTGGGACATTGGAGTAGTAATGGAATTGGTATGTATTATATTTTGTTTCTATCATTTCAGAAATTTTTCTTTTCTCATTATCATTAATAAAGGGTGTGAGGATATTCAGGTAGTACCTAATCCTTGTCATATCTTAGTGAATAAAGTTCATATGAATATTTGACCTATCTTGCTTTGTTCTCGAGATACAGGGTACCAATGTTTCCATAAAAAAATCGTGTTTCTCAATTTCAATGAAACTTGGTGATTTTGTTGATAGTAATTTAGAGCTTCTTTTGGTGCAATTAGATTCAAAATGATAATTCCAGTGGCTTTGCAGTGAGTTATCCCATCGATATTTATGGTGAATAAGAGAGATAATTATACTTTATTGTTACATGAAATACATCATGGTTACAAAGCATGTAGATCAACAGTACCTAAGGTCAATATAAAATAGTGAAATATTAAAATGATGTTACACTAACAATAATACAAACAATATAGTACAACTTGACAAACCTCTTCATACATAAATAAATTGAAATAAGATCATATTTTAAGGAAATGTATAATAATTATTATCATATATTCAGTGAATCGGTAAAATATTCATCCAAACAATAGTGGGGTCTATCTGATAATAAATACTTCACAGCTTTCCTGAATGCTTTGAATGGTCCAATATCCATTAGGAAGATGATTCTAAATTTTGTCTCCGTTATAAATGAATGAATTTTTAATGAGAGTAGGTGAGGAAAGTATGAGATTGATATCTCTATTATGTCTTGTATTGTGATGTAATGAATGGAGACTGAATCTATGAATATGTTTTTTCATTAATGAGGCAGTTCCTTATATAACAAAGATATAACTGTCAGTATTTTTCGTGATTTGAACGGGGGTTTGCAAGGCTCGCGAGTTTTTGCACCACACATGTAACGTATAGGACAAGTAAGTAAACTTTTCAATAGATTATCGTTACAACTTTCCCAGAACGCAATACCGTATCATAGATGTGACTAAATGAGAGAGTGGTACACCATCTTAGCCGCTGTGTAATCCAATTGTTGTGAGATTAGCTCCACTGCGTAACATCCTGAGAATATTTTTTTTCTCAATAACAAAACATGATCTTCGAGTTTTAATTTACAATCAATATGGATTCCTAAGCTTTTTATACAGTTTTTATTCTCAATGTTCCCAGAAGCAAGTGTCAAATCTTGAAGAGCACATTTGAATGTTATCAGATCTGTTTCAATATTGAACGAGAGTTTACTAGATTCGCACTACTTTGTAATTTCAATTTTTTCTTCCTTTATAATGTTATTCAATTCAGTACTATTTTCGCTATGCCATATGATAGTCGTGTCGTCTGCAAATAATGTGAGCTTACCCGAGATATTGATATTGGTCTTATCATACACGTATAGCAAAAAAAACTGGGCCAAGAATAGACCCCTGAGGAACCCCACAACATACTTTTTGTGTTGATGATATTTCTCCTCTAGTTTTCACAATTTGTTCACGATTATATGAATATGACGGAATCCACTCATAGGGGAGTCCACTGAAACTTCAGTAATGCAGTTTCCAGAGTAATATTCCATGGTCGACACAGTCAAAAGCTTTTGACAAGTCGCTGGAGACCGTTGCGACAGCATCACCACTATTGATCTCATTGTAGACCTCATACAATAAATTGAAAATAGCATCAGTTGTATTTTTATTGTTTTTTTTTTAAATCCAAATTGAATATCGCGTATATTATGTTTGGATAGGAAACGCATTATTTTTATTTTTACCACCTTTTCGATTATTTTTGCAATAGTGGGGATAAGTGCAATTGGACGGAGGTTGGAAGGTTCGTCAGAATCACCTCCTAAATGAAAAGGGATTATAACTGAAGTCTTTAATTGTTCAGGAAATAATCCGTCATGAAATGATTGATTAGGTGAACAAGTACTATGAGTTCATCATCAGGTAGGCTTTCAATTGTCCGGATAGATATATCTCAATGCCTGATGATTTTTTATTCTTCATCATTGAAATGACTTGCTTTGGTTTTTGAAGATCAGTATCATGGTGTACAAAGGTTTCGTTAATTCATTAATTCTATGATGTTTAACATTATCTAGGGGATCAATATAGGAATTCAGTTTCTCACAAAGAAACTGTACAAAAATATTGATTCAGAGTTTTGGGGGACATGGGGATTTCATGTCTACTGAGAACCTTATTTCCTCTAAGGTCATTAACTATTTGCCAGGTTTTTTTCGTTTTGTTATGCCTCTGTTTTTTCAAAGTTCTATATTTTCATCAGATTTGACACAATTGAAAAGACAACTTTCTTTTCTTTCATGTTACTTTTGTATCACGAATAGTTTTTGAGGAACCAATAACAATCTGATTTGACTCAAAATGATATTGTATGTGCTCTCAAGACACCCATTGAGATAACTCAATAACCTCAACAAGCACCAGTCAGACTGGATTTGATTCAGCCACCATGAATGCTTATACAGGGGGATGAAAAAAAATTGATACTTCCAGCTTCAACATCCGATTTGTCTACAGGTTATGTCACGACGAGTTTACACTATGTTTATATCGAAAATCAGTCGGGAGAAATCCATGAAAATGTTCATGCTTGTATATTAGAATACGCTCTCTTCATTTAAAATATTTTCGACAATGCAGCTTCTACTAGAAAGTAGTAGCAACATTGATATTTCAAATGGAACACCCTGAATTTTATCGCATTTTAAAGATTCTCCCTGAAGAGCTGATTTTATCGATATATAACCGAAAAAGATTACAGAGATATAGGATTTTTTTGTGTCGAAACTATTCATTATCGGTCAAAACGGCTCACATATCCCAATCTCAACTTTTGATTCACTATTTGCTGATATTTAATCGGAATGGACACAGGGTGGTTCAAGGCTCAGAATTCTGATCACTACCAATCTCAACTTTTGATTCACTATTTACTGATATTTAATCGGAATAGACACAGGGTGGTTCAAGGCTCAGAATTCTGATCACCCTGTATCTGTTCCGATTAAATATCAGTAAATAGTAAATCAGAAGTTGAGATAGGGACATGTGAGCCGTTTTGGCCGATAATAAATAGTTTTGACACAAACAAATCCCAAAGTTGAAAAATCTCGATTTTGAACACCCCAGGGTATTCTATTTGAAATAACAAAGTTGTTGCTACTTTTTGATGGAAGCGGCAACACTGCATTGCTGAAATTATTTTAAATGAAAAGAGCGTATTCTAAAATAGAAGCATGTATATTTTCATGGATTTCTCCCGACTGATTCTCGATATAGAGATAGTGTAAGCTTGTCTTGACATACCCTGTATACTTTCGGAATCTACTTACTGCTCGTGCTAGAGTCTATTTATCATCCACTATTATCACAATACTGTATTTATTAGATAATAACTCTCCGTCATCGCTACAGAAACTTCAAAACAGAGGAATGCGTATAATTCTGAAATGTAACAGACGTACCTCTATTTGTAATATGTTGGAAACATTACAATGACAATCTGTACATGAAACACTGGCAACTTTTGCATTGATTTTTATATTCAAACTATTGAAGTGTTTATTGCCTGATTATCTAGATCAGTTTGTTATTTTTAGTGCAGAAATTCATGATTACCAAAAGAGATCTCCTTATGATTTTCATCTAAGCAGAATGCTTACCAGTAGGGGTATGAACTCAATATTTAATAAAGGGCTGAAAGAATATAACTTTCTTCCTCAAAGCATAAAACAATGTGAGACTTTTAAAAAAATGTATTGAGGAGTACCTGAAACAAACAGACTTGCTATGATAAAATGACAAAAACTAAATATTTATTTTTCCATATTATTTAATCAAGAAACTGTTAGTGTTATTCTGTATGTTGTGATGATATTGGAATTGTTAATATTATGATGTTTCCTATCTTGAATAAGTTCTATTCTATCTATCTGCAAGTTGCTGAAGTATCTATAGGAATATCTTCCAGAATACCCATCTTCCTGAAGTAGGAAAATCACTAACTTCGATATTCTGACTTTTAAATGTTAACAATATTTTAATCCTACTCTGATGTGACATTCCCTTTTGCTTACGTGCGCTTGGATGGTTGTCAATGCGAAATCAGCAGTTTTAGAATTTTGGCGGAAAAAATAAGCAACTTCGTTATCTTTTGGATCTAGGATTTAAAATGAAAATTTGCAATAGTTGTGTATTCGGTACATAAAAAAGGCGTTCTCTAAGACCAAATAGGCACAAAAAAAAACACATAGTATGAACTAAATATTCTATTCCCTATGCTACGTTGTACTGATGGTAGACTTTTCGATCAATTCGATTTCAGGCATTTGAGTTACCCGACATCTATCCCCATAGCGTGGTAAATGTTCCAAACGTTCAAGGATCATGTGCAAATTTCAATGATAGGATGGAGGTATCGGCAACAGTATTAGGGATGCACCTCAAAGACATAGAGAAAACGTGAGTATGCAATAAATTATGCAGGGTGTCCCAGAAAGGTCTGTACAAAATCTTAGCACATAATCCTGAGTTCAAAATGAGTCGATTTGAAGCAGCTGACCTTAGTCCGAAATTTCTCCGTTTCCGAGATACAATGTGGTAAATTTAAAAAATTAAAATCGGCAAGCAAAATAATTTAAATATTCCGGTGCTTCATCGAACACTTAAAACCAAAATATCTCGAAAACTGCTCAATTTAGTGAATTTTCACAGGAGCACCTTTTTCGCTTGAAAATATCCAGAAAAACATTTCCTCAACAAAAAGAAAGCAAAAAACTACACCGAGAAACTTATGGCCATTGCAAGTCCGTATTCGGGTTTTGCATCCCAAAAAGCCCTTGGTTACCAATTTTTGAAGTGATACTTTTGAAGATGTTGATACAGTTTGAAAAATTCGATTTTAATTTTTTCGCATTACCACCCTGTATCTCGGAAATGGAGCAATTTTGGACTGGGGTAAGTTACTCCAAATCGGCTTATTTTGAGCTCAGGAACATGTGGTTTTGTGCAGACCTTTCAGGGACACCCTGTATATCTCATGCCATATTACCTAGTTTCTATTCTAAACTGACATGTATCCATGTCCGAAAAATAAATTTTACAATCTTAACTATGACACCCTATTACCAATATTTTATTAAGGCAATTTGGCCCAAATCGTGATATTTTGTAGTAAAATATCTGACATAGTTTTATGTACAATTACTAAAGGACCAGTCTGTTTATGTGATGTTCTGGTTAATTAATTAATTTGTTGATTTTGATAAATATAGGTGATGAAAGGCTGAAAGACTTTGGTCAATGGCCTTTTGGGATATATCCCTAATAAAGATTTTCTCTCTCCCTCTCTTTCTCTCTAAGTGATGGAAATCATTTGAATGTTTGTGTCTTGCACCCAGAATATTAAGTGTTCTTTTAATGCAGTTTCTTTCGTTTTTAGTTCCGGCTTGTTCCGGTGTTTAATACATGTATTCATCGCTTACTTACTCATTTTTGTCCTTTACGGGAATCAGCAAGGCAGCAAGCGAACAAATCAAGGCGGCTGACTTCGTATTTCGTATGGAGTAGAGTGCCAGTGACACTGGCAGATGGCGTATTAGATACTATTAAGATCGATTCAAATTAGCCGAAGGTGGCTCTGGCTTTCTCGTTCTTAGACACCAAGTGTCATCAATAAAGTGATATGAAATGAGTAAATGTACAAGATGAAAATTTCGAAATATCATTTAATCATTTACATCATAACTTGAATGAGGATGTCCTCTTTTTTGACAGTTGTAGGAAAAATATTGAATCTAACACTTGCGTAAACTAATTGTTTTACTCAAAGGAATTTTTTTCCTCATAGGACTTACCATTTCCTACTCATAAAAAAGTACCACTTTACACATTTGTTACATAAATAACTATTATTCATCATTTTTACCAGCTCAATCAGTGTAAAACTAATTCTATCAGCAGGAATCTTCCCAATCTTTTGATAACAGTCAATTTTGTCTTTAGGTACGGCAATAAACTGGCGATCGTAGCTCAGCAACAATTGAGGACCCTCGCCCTTGCAGGCGAATTCCCAGATCCACAAATCGAAATGGCGAACATCCAATATTGTATCCTGGAGAGAATAGGCAGATCTAGAAAATTGGGGGAAATCACCCAAGGCAACATGTCTTTGACTTCCGCATTAAAGATGGACTCGAAGTCTGTCTTCCACTATAGGAGACAGCTTTACTTGAACGGGCACATATCCAAGCAGTTTTTCTACGTCAAATCTGCACTTACAGACCAGAACAAATCGGGCAAATTACTGCACCTGCGCAGGTTTGTAACGTTCCTCGCTCTCAAAAACCAATCAATTGAATGTTTTTTTAATTTTCTATCGTATTTGAAACTTTGGATTAATGTATGATTGTAATCAACTAGTGGTTTATGAATGAAATGTTTTGTCTCCCCCCTTTTTATATGTCTATGGTCGCACAGCAACGTTCCTCGCTCTCAAAAACCAAACAATTGAATGTTATTTTAATTCTGAATACCTTGTCTTGCTAATTCCTTTCTTCTCCTACAATCTTCTCTTTTCTGTGGATAATGTCTTAGCTTTCTGCTGCTCTTTATTCTGCCACTACCTTTTCTACTACACACTCTCTATTTATACAGTGCTGCCAAGATATGATGCATAGCATGGGGTTCTCGGAAACTGGAGATAATACGAATTCAGTTCAATAAGAAGAAAAGTTGTACATTCCAAAGATAATTCCAACGACCTTCAAGAAATTTCAAAATTGCTTTTAGTTTCTCAGTTTGAAATTGAAAAAGCGAATTTTTGGAAAATCTATTTAATTTTTTTTTCTTTATTAAAAGAGACAGAAAAACTAAACATACTTTTCCTTCGCGACTTTTGTTGAGATTCAACGTGGTGATATTGATTTCCTACGCGACGTTTCGTATTTGTAGAACCATCAACTTTGTTTCAATACAATACTAGAAAGTGGTTTGAATGTGTTTTGAACTAGTTTTAGCCATCTTCAATGTCTTTTCAAAATCCTATTGGACACCGCTGAATTCACGCAATGTTTGCATATTCAAATCAGATCAAATCAAAATGTACTTTATTGCCTGAAGAATACATTCTTATCGACAGTATTGATCGTCCTTACAAAGCATAGTCTTATATAGAAAATAAAAACAGATATTGAAATATAGAGTGTAGACATGTAAAAAAGTGTGTAAATGTATAAAATTGTATAAAAATGTATAGAGGTAAAAATGTATAAAAGTAAAAATATGTATGAACATTCACAAATTTGTTTGTGAAGACAGTAATACATTTATAAGCAAGTTTGAAAATCAGTAGAATTATTAATCAGGTACCTTGATAGAATTCGGTGAGATTATAACACGCTTTTTCCAATAGAAACTTTTTAACCGATTTCCTAAACTTTTGTTCAGTTTCTATTTGCTTTATGTGCAAGGGCAGATGATTGAACAACTTCTTGCCTTCATAAATTATAGAATTCTTGGTAAGAGTTGACGTGGGAATAGGCAGTTTAATGTTATGAAAAGAGCTGTGGGTATTATGTGTCGTCGACTCATGTCTGAATTCTTTAAACTAGGCAAACGCTTTCCAAAATGAAAATGCAGGCCAGTGGCAGTATTCTATGAGCCAAAAATAAAGGTCTACATGTATCCCTCGAATCGGCTTTACACATATATCTTCGTGCTCTTTTTTGGAGAATAAAAACTCTAACGAATAAATAGTTTGCGCACAGCCCCAGAAGCGATTCAATGAGTGAGTAGTAAGCGTTCTTTGCCGCAGTAAGACCCAATTCATTGGATGTAACTCGTACGGCATCAGCCAGACGCTAGCTTTTTAGCTAAGTTTAAAATGTGCCCTTCAAATTTTAGTTTGGCGTCAATATTCAATCCTAAGAATTTATGTGTAGCTTTGATGCTAAGACAGTCATTATCGAGAAATACATTGTTGATAGCGCTTTTAAAGTTGATTATACCTGTCTTAGAGGTGTTGAAAGACAATAAGTTGGCGTCGCACCACTTTTTAACTTTGTTCAGGTCCTCATTGATGATGTCTTCTAAAATTACCTTATCAGTACCATGCCAGAGGATGGTCGTATCGTCTGCAAATATTGTAAATTGTCCATGTATGTCGACAAGTGTTAGGTCATTCACATATAATAAAAATAGCAGGGGTCCCAGTAAAGAGCCTTGCGGTACTCCGTGTTTGAGAGCCAGATGCTTCGAGTTCACATTTGCGATGATGACGCTTTGGAAGCGTTCGGCCAGATAAGATTGAAACCAGAGTAATGCTACACCTCTGAAGCCATAGGTGTGTAACTTTTGAAGCAGTATTCTGTGATTCACACAGTCAAAGGCCTTTGAAAGGTCACAGAACACTGCTGCAGCTACCTCCCCATAATTCAACCTAAGATACAGACGCTCAAGAAATGCAAATTTAGCATCATTGGTATTTTTTGAGGTTTGAGAGCCATATTGGTCAGTACTGAGGATACCATGTTTGCTTAAGAACGATACCATTCTTTTTTTAACTAATCTTTCTCTAGGCTTTGTACTCACGGTTGGTGTAAAATTGTTTCATTGGACTCATTAGGAATTAAAAAAAATATTTTTGAATTTTCAATAAACTATAGCCTGGCCAGGATTTTTTCAGATAACCAGCCACTCGGGCAACCAGCAACTCAAATTTTCTTCTGAAATGGGATCTTGTTTTGGAGTATTTCTTACCTTGCCAGATGGCGTTCGGCATTCGCGTTCATTTCGCAGACATTGAACGTCTCATGGGTATTAAATGCTGAGATGCGTTTACGTTGGGTCAGGTTCGCACCAGATAGCGGTCAAAATGCTATCTGGGACAACCCTGCACTGCATGATGGTAGCCAAAAGCATGAAACCGGTCTGCAGGTGGTTCATGCGTTTCTGGAAAATTTAAGCACAATTCAACGTTTAGGAAAGAAACATTTGTAACCTTATTCGTCTTTACGAATTGTTGCATAGATATCGAGAGGATGTAATTTAATGTTCTTCGTGGCATATAGCCAGGAAAGCAGTTGTTTTTCTCTCGTTATCTACCATTTTTTCGTTCATTTTATGAATGACTGGGTTTCTCTCTCTTTGTATTCAATTTTTTTGGAAAATTCCACATGCTGAATTAATTGTACCATTATTTTCATCCAATAAACAGATGGGTGAAGGTCGACCTTACATCGAATCTAACACTAAAACATCACTGCGATCATTTTTCGCTTGTATACAAAATATATTTTTTGGCTTTTAATAACACCCTTGCAGGTTCTTCAACTTTTCGAAGACGAGATACATGATGGTAGCGGACAAGGCTATAAACATTATGAAGAAACAGCCTGGATGTATGATGGAGGTGGGGAAATTGAAGAGGATGATCGAGAGCACTGGTTCGCTGGTCGGTAAACTGTTCAAGACTGCGGAATTTCGTAAATATGTGAAAACAGATTCTGTAAGTCGTTTTCTGTGATACTTATTCAACCAACTAGTGTTTAACCCTTTATCGGTCCGCTTCTGATAGAACCATGGGCTATTTCATGGACCATGATCACATTATATTCAAAAGCGTTTATTCTTAATTCCCCGTAGTTCTCCGGTTCACAGGCAGCGGAACCATTTGGTAACAAACAAGCTTAGGAGGGCGTACCAACAAACAAATCGATTTCGCGTCATCTTCAGCTGGCAGCTCAATTCTTTATGATTTTTGTTCGTAAATTTTTCAGGTTGAGTTGCGTACATGTGCAAATGCTGATGTTTAGAAGTGTTAAGTTCGATTGTTCTCATTGGAATTTTCGTGTTGGCTCCTTTCATATTTGTGTTATGGTATATTGTTTCTTGTTCACCTGTATATTAATTTCAGTGAGACAATTTTTCGGCTGTGAATGGGCGTAGCCATATGGTTACTTCGTCCATTATTTCGCATTTCGATTTAGTGGATTTTCAAAAATTCATAGTATGGATGAGTTTGTTGCTCATTTTATGGTTAGTAGAAATGTATAGTCTCTCACCTTCTCCTCAGGTCTCAGATGGATCACACTATAGGCGAGTGGACTATTTTTTTTTCATTTCCCAAATAGAATCATCACTCTAATACCTTTCAATTTTATATTTTTTCTGAAATTTTCGGTGGATTTTGAGGTGCCAGAATCATCAATAATGCCAGGGTAATTTTCAAACGGCTAGAAATCTACCGCGAGTAAAAACTGACGTCACGATTTCGTTAATAGAAACAGACCATAGCACAGTTGCCATATGTTGAAATACGATTGGGAACTTCTGAAATATTAGCTATTCAATAATACATAAATTCTCAATGATGTATGAAGAAGAAGAAGAATATTTATTTGAAATAGGTGACCCTAATACACAAAAAACTAAATAGACATATTAATAACACTATACTTTGATATTATAAAAATTTAAAAAATGTATTGACATTTAAATTTCAAGTTTGAAAACTCATCACACACATAATATATAAGTTATTAAAAGATTTACATTGTAATACAAAAACATATGAAAAATAGGTACAGCTCTAATACAATCTTAAGTAAATAAAAACAACATACAAATACTCTATTTAGAAAATTATCTCAACAAAATATATTCTATCTAATATTTTGGATGGATTCCAATAATTGTTTTTTGAAAATACTCAATGATGGGCTAGATTTGATTTCGTTAGGTAATTTATTGTATGTATCAAAACCTTTAAAAAACAATGAATTCATGACACTTTTCCTATTTGTTCTGCATACATGCAAATTTGTATTGTTTCTTGTGGCATATTTGTGCACATCTAAATTCAAATTAATAAATTCACGAAAATATGAAGGTGATAAGTTATTGAGTATTTTATATATAAATATCATGGTTAAGTAATACAATCGTAGCGATACTGATAGTCAATGCAAAGTTTTTAACATGACTCCTATTTCCGTGAATCTATTTGCTTTCAGAACAATGCGCATACCGCGATTTTGAAGTTTCTGTAATTGTGATGTTTGATTTAGATTAAAAAGGAAGATAATAGAGGCGCAATAATCAAAATGAGGTTGAATAATCGCATTATATACAGTAATTTTAGACTGAATGGTTAAATTTCTAGAAATTCTGGCAAAAAAATATAGTTTTTTAGATATTTTTCTACATATTTAATCGAAGTGGTTAACAAAGAGTAATAAATTGTCTAACTGAAATCCAAGATATTTTATACATGATGCAAGTTCAATGTTTTCATTATCAATTTGCAGATTTATTTCATTCATATCAAGAGTGTTTAACTTATATTTGGTTGATATAATCATTCCTTTAGTTTTTATTGTATTCAATTTCAATTTATTTGCCATGAGATATTCGTTAACCTCCTTCAGTGCAGTATTCATTTTCTCAATAGCTTTATCTAGTTAGTATCGTAGCATGCCAATAGGGTATCATCTGCAAATAAGTTTACAAAATCTACATTCACAAATAAGTTAATGTCATTCTAATATAAGATAAAAAGCAGAGGTCCTAAAACGCTACCCCGTGGAACACCTAAATTTATATCTGCTACCTGTGAGATATTGTCTCGAACCCTAACTTTTTGCTTCCTATGAGACAAATAATCAGCTAACCATTGATGAACATCACCGTCAATGCCATATCCTCTTAATTTCATCAGAAGAATATTTCTATCGATCGTTTCGAAAGCCCTTTTCAGATCAAGAAAAACCGCTACCACAAATTTATTGTTATCGACTTGAATTTAGATAAAGTGAGTTGTAATGCAGATTCACATGAATATTTTTTACGAAATCCAGATTGATTGTTTATTAGAATTTCATTCTTATCAACATGATCAAGTACCTGATTGTAAACAGCTAGTTCATGAATTTTTTCTATTGGGGGTAATGTATTTATAGGACGGTATTCACTGGCCTTGATAGTATTGTTTACTTTTTGTATAGGAACTATAGTACTGATTTTTAGAGAATTGGGAATTTTTGAAGTTTGAAGAGCAGTATTTACAAGGTTTAAAATTATATGTCCACAGGTTTCAAAAATGACTTTGATCATTTTGGAATTTAAGATCTCATGAACGCTGTTTTTGTTATCTAAGGAGTTGATAATTAGACGTAATTCATTCATTGTTAATGAGTGAAAATGGGAAAAATTAGGATATAAATTATAGTTATGGAATTTCCAATCATCGACATTATCAATACTATCAACATGTATGTATGTATTAATTGTTGATATTCCTTATTAGCATTAAAAAATCGATTGTCTCAAAATGTTCAATCATGTGTTGTGGTGTATTGCTTATAATACACATTTGTGTAAATAATAATTATATTTATTCTAACTAGAGGACATTTGAACCGGTAAACGCTCGGGTAAACATGACAACACGGCGCACGATTTGTGGGCTTGGTCTTGTCAGTTCTCAGCATTCAGCACAATGTTGCCAAGTCTCCAACATTTACATAATATTTTGTTATGGAGTACAAGAAATATTTGGACATGCTGGTTGCTCGAAAAAGTCAAGAATCAACTATAATATCATTGGTTCCTCCTATTATGTTTTATTCAACGACAGGACTCCAACATCTTTCTGATAACTTGATTATAATTGGTGACTTGGCTATCTTGCTTCATAAGTGGGAATTGAAGATTACCTTACCAATAACGAAACAGCATAAAAACTAACGTGATCATTTATTCGACGTATTGCCGAATAGCGGCCAACAACACAGTGGAGTGATTGAATGGCAATAATTCAATATTAGTCCACTCGCCCATTCCGAAATAATCGAACTACTTAGCAGAACAGACTTCAGGTTAGATATCATCGCAGGTTTGTCCCGATGTGTTAAGGAATCCAGAAGTGGGCATTCCGAGGAGCATCCAATTTCTTATACTGTAGAATCACCAATCATTCAATGTGAAGTCGACTGAAAAATGGAAAATATGAAAGTAGTATATTTCTCACTGAAACGAGAAATTGTTTCAATGCCCTCCATTCAAATAAAGGAAATTCTGCCGTTCGAAATATTTGAAAACATGTTATATTTTCAATCTATAAAAACCTTGTGATTTGAGCTATTTTACTGGAATAAGTAACCATATGGTAATATTATGTAAAATCGTAACGGATATAATTATCACTTATAATTTACACGAGAGCTTTTTTTGTCGAAGTAAACTTGACATGTATCAATAAGAATTTTGTTACCTGGCAATTTGATGAAAAAAACTGCCTCTGAAAATATTACTCGTCCTACGAACTCGTAATTTTTTCTGTCAGTTTTTTGAATTGAATTACCTAATGACAACAAAATTCGAATTATAAATGCCAAGTTTACTTCGACAAAAAAAAGAGTGTAATTCGGTAAGACAATTTAATTCATCAAACATTTGTTTATGGCTGGTTGTCATGCTTTCAAAAGGTTCCGTTATTGTCGGAAAAGTTAGGGCAAATTTTTTTCGATGTCATAATGACACACGCGGCTTGTGGGATTTTTCATACACAATAGTAGATGTTTTATTAGGATCAAAAGTGACACTTTGTTTGACAAGCGAATTTTGCATTTGCGAGGCAGGGCGTTTAGCGAAGCCGAGCGAAAGCAAAATTTGCGAGTTGAACAAAGTCACTTTTGATCCGAATGAAACATGCTATTTTTTCTGCAACCGAAACAATTAACTCAAATAAACATGTGAAGTAACCACCAATGCCGTGCCATATGTATGCAATGCAACAAATATTGACAAATAATCCATGTGGTGAGAAAATTCTACCTACATTAACAGCAGGTTAGGTTTTCTAGGATGTTCGAATTGTAGTTTCAATATAAATACAACCACAGAGTGACACATCTGTGTAGGGACCAGGTGCTCTAATGGCAAATACCGCGCCAGTGCCAGCTATAGGAACAAGACGAGGAAAATGTTAGGTTAGTGAGCATATCAACAATGATAATAGTGATTATTTATTCCTCTCCATTCTACACTGTGTTTGACTTGATAATCAAATGAAGCTAAGCAATATCGTTGTTTGAGACAAAAAAAACTATTGCTTGCCGTGATTATTCGAAAACAAGTTATTTATCCCGAGAATAACGAATGAAATACAGATCACGCAAGTATTTGAATCTTGAAGACTTCCCTGATCAAAACAAACTAAACTATAAAAAGGTGTATTTATATCTCCAGCATGGGTATGAAATGCCAAATCTGCTGAAATCGGAAACAAATCAGGTATGCGTCTCAACCCAAATAACCAACCGTCACAATGTTGTTTATTCTTGATGACGTCCAGTAGATCCTTTTTAGTTCCTAGGAGCTAAAGTTCAACTTTAGCTCCTAGGAACTAAAATTCAACTTTAGCTCCTAGGAAATAAATATGTTACCTAGCAACATACCTATTTTTGTGTCAGTAATAGAAACGTCAATTTAAGAGCTAATTTTGGTATCAAAATGGACGACTTTTGTGTCGGTTGCAGACAAATTAAATTGTCACTTATAATTTACACGAGAGCTTTTTTTGTCGAAGTAAACTTGACATGTATCAATAAGAATTTTGTTGCTTGGCAATTTGACGAAAGAAACTGCCTCTGAACAAAATCACGCGGCTTGTGGGATTTTTCATAGATGAATTCAATTGTCAACATAATAGAACTAATGTAATTGTCATACGACACATATTCAGAATACGCTGTGAAAGTATAGTAATTAATTTTCCACTACACTGTTTTACCACTAACCAAACCGTCTTTAAAAACGCCTCGACACTTGTTTCGCTAACTATGTTAGCATCTTCAGGAGAAGATTAAAACTCAGGCGTGTCGAGGCTTTAAAAAATCGGTTTGGTTAGTGGTAAAACAGTGTAGTGTATTATCGTGCCAAAGGTTCCAGTCTTCGATATACCGGGTGGCTACGGAAGTATTGCCTACGGAATATCTCAGTTATTGTATGAAGTAGGTTTGTGAAATTTGGAGCGTCGATATAATGACATAAGAGATAGAATTTGAGCATATTGACAAGTCGAAGTTAACTTCCGGTCTGACCGGAAGTAACATCAACTTTCTTATTTTAAATGGAAACCCCATTTTTTTTTCTTTTCGTTTTATTCAGCATTCAATTTCCTTTCTAATGACATATCACAAGTTGGTATCGAGTCAGAAACTAGATCAGAAAAAAATTATTATTGAAATTTACCGAGTAGAATAATAATTGGATTTTTTGGTATTTCATTTCAAAAAAATTACTTTCTATTATATCATTAGAAAGGAATGGTTATGCTGAATAGTACAGGCAAGAAAAAGTTGTATGTTCCTATTCAAGTTATGGACCTACAGAGTATTGTTTTTTTCCCAATTTTTCCAATATTTTTTTTGCGGCTTTTTATAACGCCGACGAATGAAAATAAAATATCACAGTAGTAGCAACTGTTATAAAGTGACGTATGGTTTCCATAGCCAACTTTTCAATTTTTGGTTTTCATTTTGCTTCCACGGCCTACTCGGTGAATTTCAATAATATTTTTTTTCTGATCTAGTTTCTGGTTAGATACCAACTTGTGATATGTCATAAGAAAGGGAATTGAATGCTGAATGAAGCGAAAAGAAAAAAAAAATAGGGTTTCCATTTAAAATAAGAAAGTTGATGTTACTTCCGGTCAGACCGGCAGTTAACTTCGACATGTCAATATGCTCAAATTCTAGCTCTTATGTCATTATATCGACGCTCCAAATTTCACAAACCTATTTCATACAATAACTGAGATATTCCGTAGGCAATACTTCCGTAACCACCCGGTATATATAGTAATTTTGTTAGGCCATCATGATGTCTTGCCGATAAGGGGTATGAAAAAATGTGTAGTAATATGGTCACTCAAACCGATAAAGGGTTAATGATGGCGATTAATGATCGAGATATTTTAACGTGCGAGCAGAACGAGTTGTTTCAATTAAATTTCAGTAGATACTGAATCAAAAGTTAAGATAGTGAAGTAATTGACTCGTTAAATTAAAAAAAATACAACAGTCGTTAACTTAGATTTGTGTAATGCTTTCGATAGTGTAGATAGTGTAGATCATAATGTATTCAGAAAAAAAGGGTACAAGTATATTACAGAATGAAATTAACTTCATTCTATTATTATTATTATTAAAGGAATTAGTCTCATTTGGGATCAGAGAAAAACCTCTTCAGCTACTCGTACAGAAACTATCTGTCTTTTATTTTCGCCATGTACCTATCACATGATCTTCCCATTTGGAATAATAAAATAACTGAAATTGTTAAATACTGTATGTAGGTTAATCGATGATCCACAGGGCTATCAGTCTATTTTTTCATAATTATTTCACTTTGTAAGCGGTGTAGCTACACAAAATGTTTTATGTGTTTGACAGTTAATCGATTGCATCAATAATTTTTTTCTTCATTTGTGTGTTGATTAAAATTGCATATTATCAATGGAGACGGAAAATGTATTCAAGAAACGAAAAAGTCGATAAATTTTGAACATTTTGTGTAGGTACACCGCCTACTAAGTGAAATAATTATGAAAAAATAGACTGATAGCCCTGTGGATCATCGTATAAGAGGAACAATTTTAGTTTTATTATTCCGAATGGGAAGATCATGTGATAGGTACATGGCGAAAATAAAAGACAGATAGTTTCTGTACGAGTATAGCTGAATTCGAAAAAATATGTTCCTTAGATTCCTCAATATCATTAGTTATTTTCGAAGGTTTTCATCTTCACCCAAACAAGCTATTGACAACCTGCAGACATTGATCAGAATATCATAACATTTTGAATAATATCGGTTTACTAATGATATTTAAATTTCAAAGCCTACCAAGTGTCGATATATACTATCGAATTCATGTCCCAGCTTATTCTTTTTGAATAAAAAGCAATTCAACAGCGAATTGAGAGAGAAATGCCACTTTGTGATACATGGTTGGATAGAGAATTTCAAGGCGAAAAAGATAGACTGAAGAAATGTACAGGGTGACATTTAAAACAAAAAAGTTAGAGTCACTTCCGGTCAAACACGTGGTTGAAAAAAATTGTCATTAAGTTCCTAAAGTGCGCTACCATTTATTATATACCCCCTGTGAATTTCAAAATTTCATCTCTTCAAATAAAAAAACTACAGGCTGCTACATGCTACATGTCTCATGTGTCACCCGGTATGTATAATTTAAATCAGAAGAAAGAGCTCTACCGTTTAGAAAAATAAAATACAGGGTATACCATAAAAAAATACCAGTTTATGTATAATCCTGTTTTGCATTTCCCAGTACTGAATTCTGAATGCTCTTAAGAAATATATTTTTGTCCATTTAAACATTTTTGTGGACCCTCAACATTGACTGAGATAACTATTGAGTAAAATATAATCAACCACCCTATACAATTGAAATCTGAATATAAATTTCAGAATGTTGTTGTAATTACACATTCTCTCAATCTTCCGTTTTCTGTTTTTCAGTTTTATCCATACAGATTCGTGTATCCTTATGCGAAAAAATCGGAATATTTGAGAAAATCCACCCGGACCGAAAAAATGTTGAGATGTTACGAATTGAAGAACCCTCATATCAACATAATAGCCACGTGGAGTCATGATAATGACGATTCCGATGAAGACGAAGAAGGTATGAATATAATAGATTGCATATTGAACAACGAGATCAAATACAAAAATGTACCGAAAATACCACAATAATATGGGGAAAAGCGGTAATGGGGTTTACATAACCAGTTAGGAAGCGCGTCATTTTGTGTGAGGTTGACGAGTTACACATTGCAAATCTCTATTTATACAGTGTGTCCCAGATTCGCTTCTCTATACAGGGATCTCGGCTCCTATTATACCTACAGCAGAGGTTAAATGGGGAAAGTTTTAGAGGAATCTTAGTGCATTCGATAACCGGCTTCAGATTTACGATCGGATAATTGGTTTTGGAAATATCGGCGAAAAACCGAAAATGATGGATTACGTTTTTCGCTAGTAAATCCGAAACGGTTAATTTGACAGCTGTCAAAATGTCACATCATCTGGACACATATTGGAATTTTCGATTTTTGGAAAGAGCGTAAATTTCCAGTCTAGTGATGTCTCACAAGTGCATAAAAGTTTTGAGTTTCATAGAAATATCACACTTCGTAAAGTTAGGTCTTGATTTTTTCTAAGGAGGCCATGATTTACTTGACAGAAAATAACACGCATAAAAAAACTCATAAACGAATTGAGATTTCAATAGAACGTGAACCTAAATAACGGCTTCTCAACAAGTAAGATATTTTGGGACAAATTCCCAACTATTGGTGTTTAAAAAAAAGTCAGAAAAATCATCGTCATTAATTAACACTTGAACCTTTGAACAACCTACAATTAGATACAAATTGAAAATGAAAATCGCAACAGAAATATTTTACAAGTTGTAATGTGATGTCATGTAAAGTAAAATCTAATTATGTTCCTAACTTCTTTTTAAATGAGTGTTAATTTACAAATTTGCAAAATGACGTCCATTTGCATCGAGACATTTTTGACAATTGGTGACTGTTTTTCTTACAACCCTAGCAAGTGTATTCCCGTTAATATTTCCAAATGTGTCCAGAACTCTTTGTCTCAAGATTTTCATGGTCGCGGGAGGATCAAATTCATAGACCTCATTCTTTGTGTGACCCCAGAGGTAAAAATCCAAGCCAAGATATTGGACCATTTGAAGAAATAATTCTTTCGTCAAATTGCTCTTTTAAGCAGTTCCTGACTTGAATGGTGTTGTGAGCCGGACATCCATCCTGTGGAAACCAGGTTATTCTAAACTCATCTTTGGTTATAGTAGCTCGTAAAGCCGACACAACCTGGTTTCGCAAAAGCTCTAGGTACCTCTGTCCGTTTAGGTTGTATTCAAACACAAATGGTCATGACCCCACACCAAAAGTTACTTCCAAATCTAGTCTGTAGAGGTCTCTCTGCCACTTTGTGAGGGTTTTCCACAGCCCAATGATGAATGTTGTGCTTATTAAAAACTCCACAATTCGTGAACCTACTCTCATCGGACCACAAGACATGATTTACAAAATCGGAATTTTCATTACACTTCCTAGTATACCACTCACAGAAACGCATTCGTCTTGGAAAATCAGTTTCCTTAAGTCCTTGACCTATTGTGGGTTTGTATGGATGGTACTTATTCTTATTCAACACTCTCCGTACCGTTGATTTTGACACACCAATTTCCCGTTCTACAGTTCGTACCGATGCTCTGGGATTTTTGTTGACAGTTTGTAGAATGTTTTTGTCGCGATTTTCATTTTCAATATTGTATCTACTTCTAGGTTGTTCGAAGGCCCCATGTTTAATTAAATTAACTACGAATTTTCTGAATTGGGTTTTGTGAGGCTGCCGTCGTTCGGGGTACATCTCCAAATACCTTGCTGAAGTAATGTTGGAGTTTCTGCGTGACTGCAAGTACAGCGCTAACATGTCAAACTTTTCTTCATTTGAATAGGGAATACCGGCCATTTTCATCAAATTAAGACAATTTGTGTGTCAGATTACAAGTACTCTTTATAAAAACACAACTTTGACGCTTTTAACTATTTAATGTCAAACTCAGAGCATCCTTAGATGGAAAAAGTGTTACTTATATGTAGTAAATCATGGCCTCCTTAGAAAAAATCGAGACCAAACTTTACGAAGTGTGATATTTCTATGAAACTCAAAACTTTAATGCACTAGACTGGAAATTTTACGATTTTTCCAAAAATCAAAAATTCCAATATGGCCGCCATAAGAAAAATGAAAGTTGAGGCGGCTTGCGGGATAACAAAATACGATCGTGACATGTCATACATGCTATCTTATTCGTCTTAAAACAGTGTCCAGATAATGACACATTTTGACAGCTGTCAAATTAACCGTTTCGGATTTACTGGCGAAAAACGAAATCCGTCATTTTCGGTTTGTCGCCGATATTTCCAAAACCAATTATCCGATCGTAAATCTGAAGCCGGTTATAGAATGCACTAAGATTCCTCTGAAACTTTCCCCATTTAACCTCTGCTGTAGGTATATAATAGGAGCCGAGATCCCTGTATAGAGAAGCGAATCTGGGACACACTGTATATCAATGACTTGCTTATTTATTTTGAAAACTGCAAGCTTCATTCATGTGTAATATGGTAAGACTCTGAGTAAACGGAACTATCAAACAAGAAATGAAGGTTGTATTCCTTTACCAATACCTAAGTCTAATCTGACAAAAAACTCTGTCATACAGTATGGTGGAAATGTTCGATTTGGTGACCTTCTGCAATGATACAATGTGAATGACGACACACATTGTTTCTGATGTATAATGGTCGAATTTTTTATTAATTCTAATTGTTTCCCTTGTAAATATAAAATAATTATTATTTTTTTCTCACCCTGTATTACTCTATTCTGCTAATATCAGCATATGGTTGGATGGACGATGAATATACCTTCCGAAAAAATAAATGAAAAGGGGATGCTTTTGGGTGTATGATAAATTGACATTCATCATACAGGGCGTGGAAAGAAATTCTGAATTGAGACTCTATCACGAATCTGCGATTAGAGGTCTATAAAAATCATAAGTTTCCATCGTTCAAGTTTGAACCCCCTATATGTATATATATGATATTGTTGAAAAGGAATATTCTCAGATAAATTATGAACATACAAAAATGGATTTATATTTATATAAAGCAATACATTGAGAATTCGCATTCTCTATGTGATGAGAATATTTACTCTTTTTCAGTTTATTCAATAGAAAACAACTACTTTCCTGGCTATATGCCACGACGAAAAGGGGATGTTTCCATTTAAAAAAATAATCGATGACGTCACTACAACTACGCAAATGACGTTACAAACTCCGTATGTATATCAAGAGGTGTCAATTTTAAAATAAAAATCGACCTGTCTCAGGATTTTTCTTCAAATTCATATGCGTTAGAGATAATGAATTTATTCCATACATTTCCACCATACTGTATATTAGAGCAAAAAAAAACATAGTAATTCAGGATTTGAGGTACAAACTGAAATGGGTGATACAGGGTGATTCATTGGGAGATGTGCATACAGTATGTTTAGATGGAGGACACTGAGGTGCTTCTGAGTAATCTATATTTCATGGGTCTATCATTCTTTATAACCAAGATACAGGGTGATTTATTGATTCCCCCATTTTTTCAATCAATTTATAGCTTATGAACCTGTACATTCTTTTGATGTTTGGTTTGTATGTGTTATTCCAGGGCTGGCCTTGAAAAATTAGTAAGTATAGATTTCGAGTCGAAATAACCCCCTGTATATAAATATTTTGAAATATCATTTGCAACGTAGGAAAGAGCAGGAAAACATTAGTAAGACTGAATGTATTTGGTGTTTCTGCATTCAACATTTTTACCTATTAACATTAGTCAAATCTAGAGGTTTCAATAATGAGGTGGCACAAGAAAAAAGTTATTTGTTTTCCATTTATAATCCATAAAATCATCAACTATTTCTCATTCTCCTGATGTTTGGTTCCCAATCTAATTGAAAATGAGAGGACATGCCCGTATTTGGGATAGATTATTAGACATACCACATGTTCATTATTATCAAATTTGTGTGTCATTGAGTAAGCAATACCTGTTATCAACGAATAACGTTACAATACAAAACACAAGTACAAAGTGCAAACTCATCAACTACGTCAACATTGTACTCTAACATCTGCCAACTTGACAATTACAACGATTTGATGGGATATCAAACCCAATGTGTACGTACAGACTGATCATGCTCAAGCTGAAAAAATAATATCACAAGGATAAAGAAAATTCAAGTTTTTTTATTTTCTGTTTAACTTTTGAAATGTAGATTTGTGACAACTTTATTTTTGTGTAAAACAAAGTTATGATTTTTTCGGAAAGGGTATTGTTATTCATTTTCATAATTGTTGTTTTAAATGTAGTGCGATAAACAAATGTTATGATAATGTTCTTACACATACAGGGCATTTAAAGTTAGTCATTGATAATAATAATTCATCCCAAATACGGATTTTTTTCTAGTTTTTCAATTAGGTTAGGACCCAAAAATTAGGAGAATAAGAAATAGTTGATGAATTTATGGAAACAAAATGCAAAACTTCCATTTGTGGACGACAAATTATTTTTTTTTCAAATTTTGTGCCTCTTCATTGAAACCTCTAGATTTGACTGAAATTAATAGGTATAACCTTGGTATACAGGTTGTTGTTTCAACTCAAAACCTCTTTATTAATTTTTTCAAACCCTTCCCTGGAATAAGACTTTTTCATTATGTCAATCGTCACCACTATGGACAAAGAACATGCAAACCAAATATCAAAAAAATGTATAGGGTGGTTCATGTTATGATTAACCCATTTACCGCCGAATTACGAAAAAAAGAAAGGAAATAATTATTTTTCGCTTTTTTATTTTCGACATGATGTATTTATATAGTTTTTATCATGAAAAAAATTCTATGGAAGATAATGACATATATATGACATGGTGCATATACGCACCATTGGCTCTAAGTGAGAGTTACATTTCCACAAAAATTTTATGTATGATAATTCACGGAACAGTCGGCGTG